TGTTCCTATTTAACAACAAAAAGCAAACTTTCTGTCTGCTAAGTAAATTTTGTGAATTGGGACCTTGGGCTACACTTATTATGTTATCTTTATGTACTAACCTGTACTCTGTTTATTTAATCTTGCTCATGCTTTAAGTGAATGTCTTTATATACACAGGAATCGTTAAATTAGGAGAGTAAAATACAATTAATGAGAATATGCAATATTACATTTTTTGAGTATATATTTGGCAAAGAATTAAGATACATGTAGTCATTATGCAAAAGTATACAATCTAATAATTTGTTATTTACAATTGTAATACTATTACATATATAATACTTTTGAAGCTTAAATTGTATTAAAGACAAAAAATATTGGAACCTAATTATAAATTTAAAGCACTTGAAAGTTATAGGAAAGTTACAGAAAGTATCCTAATTAATTATCAAGTAAAAAGCAAAAAGATATTTATATTTATAAACCTAAACTTAAATGGCGTTTAGCCAAAAGATATAATGGTTATCACTCATTATTGCCTTACCCTTGCTTATTTACAATGTATCAGACACCTACTGTGTGCCAACTATGACTCTTACCACAGAGTATTTATTGTCTAGTGGGGAAAAAGCGACATGTAACCATTCATTGCAACACTCTATCACTAGTACTTCAAAAGAGTATGTACAAGGCATATAATATCAGTCCACAGTATAATTATTAAGGCCAAAAGAAAAAAAAAAAGAGAAAGAGAAGGAAGGAGGGAGAAAGAAGCCTGTACTTTGGGCAGGTTCAATTTCTTTCTTATCCTCACAGTATAAGCAATAGTGTATGCATACAATATATTATTACCAAATAATATTGGGGAAATACTCATGTTTGACAATCGATTTTAAACATAGCTGAACTAGAGTACTATCACAGCATAGCAGAACCTATTTATATTTATAATACCTAATATACCCTGACCCATTTGCTGAAAATACTCTGAAATATTTTCTCTTAGAAAGGCTTTGGAGTCCTGTATTATTTATAGGAATGTACTTAGTGAATTCATGCTGATTCTGTTTGCATCTGTCAAGACTAACATATTAATGTACAGATCTTCAACAAGGAAGTGCAGCTTAATGGAAAAGACATAGATTTGTAGTCAGGCAGAGTGTGTTAAAATCTTGGATTTTCCAGAAAGACATGTTACTCAACCTCTCTGAGCAAGGCTGTTTTCATGCCTCTAAAACAAAGATGTACTGGGGAAAAAAATTCTTACAGAGCATACAAGGCATTCTAGAGAGAGGTTAAATCCTTGTCCCATTTGCTTTCCTTCATCCTCACCCTTTAAATGAATATAAATGAATTCCTAGGACTAGGAAAAACACAGTTACAATCTCTGCAATAGGCAATCTTTTTCTGAGACCCAGGTGTCAGCTGAGGTCATGATGCCCTTTGAGTGTAAATAAAATGAGCTCCAACGTTAACTCCTATCTTTTGGGAATCCCAGAGGCTGCACAATGATTGCTAGACAAGCTTCACCTATGCCCTCAAGAAATATCTAGAGTGTCTAGGACTTTAGATATCTCTGTCAGCTCTGTCTTGAGGTTCCTGTATCCACTGGATTCTTGAGTCTCTTGGGCGTCCTGTGCTGCAACACTTCTTCACTTCTGCCAGGATGAGCCAGATGAATAGCACAGTTCTTTCCCCTTGATTTCCCCAAACACCACACACAGGTCTGTGTGTCTAGCAGACTTGAGTGTAGATCTGGATATTTCAGCAACGACAGTTCACACAACAGCTGTGCAAGTAATGTAAACTTGAATTTTAGACATCACAATTTCTTACTAGCTACTTTTCTTCACATATTACAGCCTCGCAGCACACTGATTGACCCGCCTCTCTTCCTAAAGTCTATTTCCAGATCTGTTTCTGGGGTCTCCTCTTCTGGATTTTCCCCATCTACTTCTAAGTTCTTCTCTTCATTATACAGACCCACTAACTTATTCTCAGCATCTAGCAAGTTCTACTTTTCCAAAGATTCAGTAGACTTCAGGAAACAGTCATCTATTCCAGGCTCATATTCCCTTTGCTCTTCCAAGTGACTTCCATTGGTCATCTTCCTTAGAGTCACAGCTTTAACTGCTTCCAAGAATTGGCAGAGGCCTTATTAATTCAGTTTTGTTTTGTTTTGTTTTTTTCAAATCCCTCCTTCACCCAACTTTGTAAGTGGAAGGGAGCATAGAAAAGATTTATTGTCTTTCTCATATAAATTACATCATTCTCTTGAGGGATCAGGAATAGCTTAATCATTTTCAGTTTTAATAACTTTTTTTCTCCAAGATACAATTTCTTAAACCCAATTTTTCTCATATTAGGTGCTTTTTTTGTTGGGGGTGGGGTGGAGGGGGAGGAGTTGATCACTGAATCCTTATTAGGCTGTTTCCTCATTTGAAAAATTGAAAGATTAGACTGGGGGATCTCTAAGGTTTCTTATTGTTTGAAATGCTGTAATTCTTTGACCATAATTATTTAGGTTAATTTTTTTCTTTAGCTATTATATGTATAGTTATCAGTTTCCAGGTAATGAAAAAAATTTGTCGATTTTTTCTCATTTTGAAGTCAACTGATGAATCAAAACTCTATCACTTTTATTTCATTCTCCCTTCATCAATTAGCTGATTCTCTAAGGAGTTTTACTTTTAGAATCACAGATTCTTAGTGTGAGAACTAAGTGCGTTACTCATAGATATTTATTTAAGAAACATTATCTGACCTTCAGTTTTTTAAAAATGTAAAAGAGAACAGTAATGACAAGTACTTCGAGTTGCTGTGAGGAATAAATGAGATTATTCATGGGAAGAGAATTTGTCAATTGTAAGTCACCAACAAATGTTAATTTATTTGAGAGGAAGGAAGAAGTACAAACTGGGAAAAAAGAGAAGAAATATGTTCTGTAACACAGTTTACATCTCTTGGTGATAGAAGAAAGTGATTCAAATTGCCACAAAACTGATCATTGGTATTGCACAGCCTTTCTGTCTCAAACAAAAATTGGCAATGTACCACCTCAAGGGCAGAGGTTAGTTAGTTTAACTGACATATTCTACACAACACAAAACTGCCTGCTTAAGTAAACTTATTGTTTTTAATTGGCATGAAGCTATCTGGAGAAAAATCACTGAAAAAAATTAATTCTTTTCACTTTTTGAAAGTCAGCCCTATCAAGTGAAGATCCAGACACTATCAAGTTCCCACACTGTTTCCTATTTCATGTTCATCTTTATTTGATTCTATATTCTTTATTTGAATTTCACAAAACTTTAAACTGGAAAAAAAAAAAACTGTGTCAAAATAGCTGCTGGAGGAAGGACTAGAATTATAAAGTCTTGCCTCAATGTAAGACAATGTTGCCTAACCCCTAAGTGGTTCCTGTTGTTGGCATCCTAATTCACTGCTCAAGGTGAGGATGCAAATTTCCTTTTCTCTCCAGAAGTCTTTAAATGGTTTCAAATCACACTCAAGTAGCCATTTACTATTGCACTTTTCCAACAGCCTGCGTGATAGTGCTCCCACCCAGTTACCTCAAGTTATCACTATTCTCGTGCTCAATCCTTTCACCTTCCCTCTAGTCTCTGCTGAAACCATTTTCTCTTTTTCTTGATTAATCTTCCCCCAGAAATGAATTTACCCTTTCAATCTTAGTCAGACACTTAGTTTAATTACTCTTTCTTTTTCTGACATGTACATTTCAACTTTCTCTTCAGTGATATGTCTTTCACTTGCAAATGTATTCTATTCTCTCCAATAAAAAAAAAAAAGACAAAATTAGAGAATACTATATTTTTCCTTGGCTTTTTTTCATTTTCCAGAGAGAGCTTTTTTCTTTCTTCAACTTGTCTCTTCCCTTCTTCACAATCTCCATTTTGGATTCCACCATGAGTCAATTACCATCCTCCAGGAAGCCAAATACAGGAAAGAATTAAAAGTGCAAAAGATTTATTGGTGGAAAGGAATCTCAGTGATGGACAAAGGGGAGAGAGAACGAGAGTAGGTAGGATGAGCCTATAGACTGTGACACAAGCCTGCCACCTCTGAAGGGAGAAAAGAAAGGAAGGAAGATTACATAGAAAAAGCTTCAGATTGCCATGTCATTTGTTAAAATCTCAGCCATACTAAAGGGGCACCCAGATTAAAGAATGTGCATTAGAGGAGTCCCAGGCCAGGAGGAACTGGACCAGCTCTACACTCCCAACGTGCTGGCAGCTGGTACTCTCTAAAGGGAGATCAAGTACCACACTTCTCTTGGCTGTCACAGGTACCAGTCACTCTGGTGAAGTTATTTTTTCAAAGCTTAAAAATGATTATCAGCCCCTCTTCTCTATATTTGCAATGTTTGATGAGCTACTTCTTATAGATTGGCAACAATTATGATTCTCCAGAAATATGTTCCACCACAAACAATAAATAGACTGTAAAAGTATTACAATCAGCTGTCCTCTTCACTTGGCCTATGTGGTTGCAGTCATTTGCAAGTTTATGCTACTTCCACCAGCAGGGTACAAAGCTCTTCTGTGTTGATAACTCCAGAAATTGCTGTTCAGTATTAGTTTATAAACATGCAGAAGATATTTTACAATTTTGAGATCTTAATAACAACGCTTAGCACTATTATTTTTTTGAGTGCTCAGTGTGTGACAGACATATACTGAGTATTTTATATGTATGAACACTTTTTATCTGTATCATTACCCTCTGAGGTGGATTCCATGAGTATTGACATTTAACAGAAGGTGAGGCTGAGGCACAGAGAAGTTAAATAAATCCTCAATGACCACATGGCTAGGAAGTGGTGAAACCAGGATTCAAACCCAGGTCATTGATCTCCAGAGCTCATACGACTAGTACTTTTCCCGTACCACTCATACTCAGAACACCTTTCTCTATAAAACAGTTAATTGCAAAATGTTAACCCAATGTCTACTGTAAAGCATGTGTATTATGCAGCAATATTTTTTTCTGTCTTTCAGGTCCCTGCATCCCTAATCCATGCCATAATGGAGGAACCTGTGAAATAAGTGAAGCGTATCGAGGGGACACATTCATAGGCTACGTCTGTAAATGTTCTCGAGGATTTAATGGGATTCACTGTCAGCACAGTAAGTTATCCGTGCTCATTTTGCTTTTATTATTATTGATTGTACAGTATGCAAGCCGTTATCATTCTTGTTTGTAGTAGACTAATAGAATCTTTGAGTGGCAAAGAGCCCTGACAATTGGCTAATGCTGCTTCTGTCCCATTGAATGTGCCACCTCCCCCGCTGAGGACTCCAGGACTCTTTTCAATCTCCTCCCTCCCCTGTGTCATGGGGGCTACCAGTCTTCTCTTGCCCTTGCGATATCATTCAGGCAAATTTGCAAAATGTCGCTTTTTATAATAAACTGATACCTGTCTCATATTTGCCCTGAAGCTACATTCTTTGAGCTTCCCAGACAGAATTCTGTTGATTAGGTTCAGAGATGATACTCAGAAAAGAAAAAAAAAAAACAAAAAACTTCGCACCCCACTCTACCTATAAGCCAGTTTCTTCCCCCTTAACATGTTGGCATTTTTAACGTGAAAGTCTTTGAAAGTTCAATAAGTGTGTTATTTGCACTTCTCTCTTTTATCCCATTCTTATTTATCCTGGAAAGTTAAACAAAATATGTCCACTTGTGATGATTTCTTTGTAGAAGTATGGTTCAACAGAAATGCCAAATGAGAGGGCCCCTGACTGCTGTAGGAGTTCAGCAAGCAGGGAGGCCACAGTGGACTGTAAGCTGTCAGGGAAGGCTCTCTCAGAGGCTGCCACTTGTAAGCTGAGTCTTGTCGGAGGGATAAGACATTGATCTGAGAGAGGAGAACAGGGCAATGGCACATGATGGGAAGAGTGGAAATAGGAGCTCTGAAGATTGGAGTGGTGGTTAAGACCATGATGTTAGAAACAGGTAAGGCAAAGCTGGATGTCAGCCAGAGCCACATTTCCGATCACTAGCAAAAAAATACAGTGGGCCTCCTGGCTCTGAGACTTTGGATGCATTTCATACTTTTCTGAAGAGTGCCATCACCAGGAGTTTGTGGAATTTCTATAGAAGCCTGTTAGAGTACAAAGGGCATTTGTGCTCCTTTTACAATGAGCATTTAACTGCTTGTAATTGTCTTTAAGAGCTCAGATCACAAACAAGGAATTTAGAGGCTCCTGATTTTTCTTAGGCCGGGTCCAGAGTTGCCAAGGCTCTCTCCCTTACTATAACATCACTGCTCAGTCTTCGCACGCATGAACACAACACCATCCCAGAAAGACAGAGACGGGAGCCCAGAATCCTGGTGCCTTTTATTTAATTGACATTCACTTAATACCATCAAGAGAATATTACTAACTTTATTTATTTACAGAATTTTATAATACAATGCCAGAGCAGTGCCCAGAAAGGGACAGTCTGACCATCCCACTTGAGCCATTAAATGAAGTGAGAACAGAATTTTCATAATCGCGTGTTGTCCAGTGTTCAGAAGCAGGAATTGCATGCAAGGTCATATCATTCTAACTTTCTTTTCCTATGATGCAAAGCTCCATGAAGGAGAGTATGAGAGTATACAAAAGCAGATTCTTACTGTTAAGAATCTTTAGAAGGACAGTATTTGAAAGGCATGTGTAGACCATAATATCACTTAAATATTTCACAATTATCAACCCTCTCACCCTAACCTACTGCTGATGTCAATATGAAGTTAAGATTGGTCCTTAAACCAGAGATGGAAAACTCCAAACCTAAGTTTTAAGTAATAATATCCATACAACAATAGAAAATTATTTTCACATCTCTGGGCCTTGTTTTCTCCATATTGTGAAGAAATGTTTAGTTTCAATTATCTTTAATAGCCTGGAAGTTCCATTGAAGACATCAAGTCATCACGTGTTTGTCCCAAGATAGGCAAGGTTGCCTTAGATAGATGGGACTGGAGAGGTATCCACCTGTTTCTGACTCTAGCTTATCGATTGGTTATGAATCCTTTTGAGAAAACCATCAGGTTTGAAGAAATAGAACAAATAATTCTTGTCTCCATTCTCCATGGTAGAACGGCCAAGTCTTTTCTTTCAGACCTTATGCCATACTCACATGAGCTCATTAATCCACATAATTATTTTGAATTTCAAGCCTTATTTTGAAGCACAAAAATATCCTCCCCCTTACAACACTTGATCCTGGTCCCTCACAAGACCTTAAACCCATGTTAGGAATTGCAATGGGAAGCCAGAGGCTGAGTGATTGAATTCAGAATGGAGATTTTGTGGTCTAAACCAACTGGTCTCCATTCTCTAAAGTGCCTCACTATTAGAAGGAACAGAAGATGTAGAAAAAATGATTTTTCCTAGACTTGGAATCAGAGACATGGATATGAGACCTGACCTTTACAGTTATTGGATAAGTGACCTTGAGCCAGTCACTTGACCTTTCTGTGATTGAAGACATATACATGGAGAAATTGAACTAGAAATAGATTACTTTGTTTCACACAAGCTAGGAGAGTGTTATGACTAAATGGGTAGCTTGCTTACTGTACAAAAGTTATCAAGTCTTCCCCCTTTATAGATGAAATTGGAAAAAATTAGATATTAGGAAAGAAGATTTAGAAGTTCTGGGAGTCCTAAGAGCTTTTCTAGGTAGGAGAAAACAAAAGCGGCTCTTTTAACCCCTTGCAAGAACTGCTAGGTATTCAGGTTTATTTTTCACATTGGTGATAGTTTAATGCCCCAGGTATGCTCTAGAACCTTGCTACTCAAAGTGTGGTTATGCATCAGCATTACCTGGAAGCTTATTAGAAATGCAGATTATCAGGTGCCAACTCAAACCACCTAAATCTGAATCTGTATTTCAAAATGATATTGATACCCAGTCAACTTTGATGCATATTGAAGTTTGAGAAATATCGTTCAAGGTTTTCAGTAGCTAAACATAATCATCTCATAGATTAAGATAGCAAATTCTGCCTTCAGTTACATAATAATACATTATAGGCAAAATATTTATTATGGTTTTTACAAATCAAAACTGTATTGAAAATCAATGAAAATGAAAATAAAAGGTATATTCATGTATTATGAATATTTCATTTGGGAATAGAATTGAAAAAATTCTTCAGTCATCCATATATGGGGGCATATAAATTTAGTTCTGTATGACAATATGAATTAAGTATCTTTTGGAATATAGCTAAATAGTTCAAGAATTTTAAGTTTCATGATACGGAAGTGACAGATACATAGTTAATAGGTATAGTTTAACAATTATTTTGTCAATATGTTACAAATTAGGAAAAAAAATGTTTCCAGTGACAACATTAATATTACCTACATGTCTTTTTTTAAAATAAAAGTTAGTAAATTTTAGTTTTTAAAACAGTTTTAGATTTACACAAAATTGAGCAGAGAGTTCCTATATATCTCTCTTCATAATAGTTTGACCTATTATTAAAACCTTGCATTAATATAGCATATTTGTTATAATTGATAAACCAATCTTAATACATTATTATTAAAGTCCATAGTTTATATTAGGGTTTCACAATTTATATTGTATAGTTCTGTGGGTTTTGAAAAATACTTAATATCACATATACGCCATAGCCTCATACAGAATAGTTTCACTGACTTAAAATCTTCTATGCTTTGCCTATATCATTCCCTCCACCCTTCCCCTAACTCCTGGCAACCAGTGATTTTTTTTTACTATCTCTATAGTTTTGTCTTCTGCAGAATGTCATATAGTTGGAATCCTACAGTATGTAGCTGGAATCATGTAGACTTTTCAGACTAACTTATTTCACTTAGCAATATGCATTGAAGATTCCTCTATATTTTTTTGTGACTCAATATCTCTTTTTCTTTTTGCACTGCTGAATAATATTTCATTTTATGGATGTGTCACAGTTTGTTTACTCATTCACCTACTGAAGAAAACTTTAGTCGCTTCCACTTTGGGCAATTATGAATAAAGCTGCCATAAACATTCACGTGCAGGTTTTTGTGTGGACCTAAGTTTTCAACTCATTTGAGTAAATACCTAGGAGGGTGACTTTTGGGTTGTTTGGTAAAAGTACATTTACTTTGGAAAGAAAATGCCAAACTGCCTTCCACAGTAGCTCTTTCATTTTGTGTACTCACTGCCAATGAATGAGAGTTTCTGTTCTGTATTCTCACTAGCATTTATTGTCAGTGATTCAGATTTTAACCATTACGAAAACTTTTCTTGGTAATGAAAATAGCATGAAATCGTATCTTTATGAGACTAGTAATGATTACTATTCATTTTTATATAGAATTATCAAATTATATGTGTTCTTAAAATGCCATATAATAATGTGAAACATACATCTATACACAGATATATGTGTGTGTATGTGTATGTGGGTGGGTATAATTATAAGATGTAAATTATAGGATGAATTGAACACCAAAATTGTCTAAAGTTTAGACTTTTGAAAGGCATTTTTAAGCAACCAGTTTTCTTCTGGGAGCTGTATTTGGGGCTGACTAGAAGTAATCATATTTTATTTGTTGCCTAGTAACAATCCAATGCCTTAGGGAAGGACTGTTTCTTCATTTCCAGAACTCTTTGCCCATCTTACCAAGGAAGGCATTCTGTATATTCTTCCTTACCTATGCACAGCTCTGCAGCCTTTGATTCTTTTTTTTTTTTTTTTATTCTTATGGTGACATTGGTTAACATCTTGGTTTCTATTCTTTGGGGAAGGAGAGCTGATATAGCAGCTCTGAAAGAAAAAGGGCTGCTTTAAGAAGTGACCCATTTTATCAGATTAGTGCTAGATAATATGTGCTCTAGTCCCTTTTCCCACTGAGAAAGCTGGTCAGAAAAACACAGAATCGAAAACTTTCCTCTTCGTATGTTATGCTAACTATTATAAACCAGTTTGGTCTTAATTTTATACTATTGATTAATAGATTCATACATTCAGCAAATATTTATTGGGGCCATGAGTCATTTTACTTCTGTAACTTACATACTTCACTTTTCTTAGAGTTAGCCGATGATATGTGCTGTTTTGACAATCACTGCTAATTAGATTAATTACATACTTGGCAATTACATGTTTTCT